GAGGCAGGAGGATCAATGCGAGTTCAAGGCCAGCCTGAGCTACAAAGTGAGATCAACGCCAGCCTGAACTGCATAGCAAGACCCTGTCTCAAAAAAAGGACACAGAACAGAATAGCATAGCATGGCATGGCAAAATCTTTTAAAAAATCAGAGTTTAATACAGATTCTTTCCAGAATGTGCCTATGTAAGGAGTTACTCCTGTGTGTGTATATATGTGCACATGTGTGTACACATATGTGGGTTAACTGTGTGTGCAGGTATGTGGTGGATTGCTCCCACACACATGTGTGTGTGTCCCTGCGTGTGCACATAGTGCATTACTCTGGTGTATATATGTACAGTGGGTTATGCATGTGTGAGTATGCATGTTTATGCACATGTATGTTTAGTGGTGTTATAGGCAGCTGAGTTAGTTAGAAATATTAAAAATGTTATAGGTAGTCAGATAGGGCCAGGCCCTCGAAGGGGCCAGTCCAGAAGATGAAAAACCTTACAATGAAGATGAAATACCTCTCCTCCCTTGTGTGAGGGAGACAGACACCTCCAGCTGTGAACAAAAGATTAAACAGATGTGGCCACATACGTCCCTAGGGATGGACCTCAGGGATTGATACTCTATTTTTTTGGGTTTTGTTTTTTTCCAGTACCAGGAATCAAAATCACGACCTTGTGCTTGCCAGGCAGGCGCTGTGCCGCTGAGCTAAATCCTCAGCCCCAGGGATTGATATTCTAAATAGGTAGCAACCCCCTTGAAAAAACCAGGAAGAGTCACTAGCCCAACCCCCTACAGGAAAATATCCTGTTCTGTATTCACGCCCGCTTGCTAGGTGACTCACTTCCCCATTTGATCCCAATTTAATCAATCTTACTTAAACAATTATACTTGCAATCTTATCGGCTGACCATAGTTTTGTCCCACCTCATGCCCACTTTGTAATTTCCCATTTTCCCCCTATCCTGCACTCGCCTCATCTCGGGGTTTTGCTCTATAAAATCCCTGGGAAGGGCAAAGTCCTTGGCAACCCACTTGGGCCCCCTCTGTCCCTCTCTTGGACAGAAGCTTTCTTTCCCTCAATAAATATATTCTGCTCTTAACCTCCCTTGTTCCTAAAACTGATTCTTTGATTTTTAGAGAACATGAACTCGTCCCAGATATCATTCACGGTGGGAGTTTTTTCCCCCTCTATCAGTGGGCTGGGTGTTTGTGGGCCCGCTTATGTTTCTGCGTGTGCACATGTGCACAGTGGTTCACTCCTATGTATGAGTGTAGCCGGTTATCCCATGTTGTGCGTGCATGTACACGTGCGTGTGTGTGAAGCGCATCACCACCTTCCCGAGGCTGCGGGCACACACCTCCCTCTCGTCTCACCTCTGCCTTGATGACACGGCCTGGGAACAGGGGCCGGCCGTGGGGACGGCGTCTGACCACGGACACGGAAGCAGGGCTGCCCCGGCCCCTGGACGAGCACCGGCCCAGAGGCCAGTGAGACGCGAAGACACCACCGACCTGAATCTGCAGTTTGCTACCGGAGGACGCCGCCACCTTCCACCCCAGAGGCTCAGGCTCAGGACGCGGTGGTCGGAGGGCTTGGGACTCTCGGTGCCCTGTGCGTGGAGAGGAGGTCAGGAGAGTGGCGGCGCCTCGTTCCCCAAGCTTCGAGAGCCTTCTGAAGCGGCAGGGACGAGAACGGGCGTCGGCCCCGCAGCCTGTGGGAAGCCCTGGTGAGGCAGCGTGGAAGGCCACACCCGATCTGGACATCTCAGAGTCCTCCAGCCTCCAGCCAGGGCCTGGCCTGCGCAGCGACAGCGTGTGGTGGGCATGGCATCCAGGGCGTGGACGTGGGCAGCACGGTGCCTGCCTGTGGGGGGCAGCGCTGGGGTCAGAGCCACCCGGGCACGGAGCCCGGAGCCCACGGCTGGGAGCTGCCTCCCCGGCGATGCTCTCACGCTCCCATTCCCTTGCTTCACCAGGCCTCCTCCTCCTCCTCCTCCTCCTCGGGCTGTCAGAGCAGCTCCAGGGCAGCCCCTAGGGCCCCAGGGTGTGGTCGGCCTGGGGGGGTTCCAGGGTGAGACACATCAGGAGCACCCCACCCTTCCCTTTCCTGCTGCACAGTGGGGTGGGGGTGCTCGGATTGACTGACAGCTGCAGCTGGGGCTGTCCTGGACGGTCCACTGTGCTCCCAGAGATGTCCATCCTGACCGAAGCAGGCTCGAGTTTGGACCAACTTGGATTTGGACTAGTAGCAGCTTTGAATCTGGGCCAATCAGCAGTCTCAGGTTTGGGTCAGAGGCAGAGGAACCTGGCCCTCTGCTGCTCTGCATAAGAGCAGGTGTGCACAGTGCAGTGGGTGCTCAGCGCTGGAAAGCGGAGGGTCTGCAGCAGCACCGCCCGTAAGAGACACATTCGCACCCTTCCCCAGAGAAGCCTTGGTGTGCGGCTTCTCTCCGCAGACTGCACCGAGCACCTGCATGCAGACCCGCAGGTGCCGGTCCTCAGGTGCACGGCAGTCTCCGCCCTCCCCTAGGTCCCAATTAGGAGGAAAGAGAAATACTTCAAGAGCACAGCAACAGCAGCTGTGGTGGCGCACACCTGTCATCCCAGCACTCAGGAGCTGGAGGCAGGAGGCGCACCATGACTTCAAGGCCAGCCTGGGCTCCATAGTGAGTTCAAGGCCAGCCTGGACTGCTCAGCAAGACCCCATCTCAAAAAACAAAAAACAAAAGCAAAAACAAAAACCAGGTAAACAGCCGGGTACAGCAGTGACATGCTTGTAATCCCAGCTATTGGGGAGGCTGAGGCAGGAAGACTGTAAGTTTGAGTCCCACCCAGGCAACTTAAGGAGACCCTGTCTCAAATAAAAAATAAATTGGGGGAGGGCACAGCTAAGTGGTAGAACAACTCTGGGTCCAATCTCCAGGGCCAAAATGAATAAATAACAGGCAAACAGAGGCCAGTGAGCCAGCAGGATGTTCCAGAAGAAACAGAAAATGCCTGTTTCCACGGAGCAGCAGCGGCCGTCCCTCCCGCTCTGCCATGATCACCACGGGCACCTGCTGCCACCCTTCGGGGACCACGGGGCAGGGGAGGTCACAGACAAGCCCAAGGCTCTGCACTCCTGCTTATTTAATACGTGTTGTGGAGCCAATATGACTTATCTTTCAGGGGCACTTTCCTGGTTGGAAGGTCTCACCACGTGTTACATGTAGAGCTTCATGATAAATATAAAAGTAATGGAAGAGAAAACCCTGGTAGTAAATCCTTCCCGGCCGCTGTCTCTGCCAGGTCGTGGCTCCGAGCCGGAAGCCTTCTATATATGGTTTGCGAGAACTTGAGCTTCAGATTGAAACTTTCCCTTCCAGTCATGCTCTTCAAATAAAGGGTGGAAAGAAAATTAAACAGAAAACGATAACTGTCACCCTGGGACATAGGATTAATTAGTGTACTCCGAAGGATCCCGATGCTGCCACACGGGTAGCACTTCGCGTCGGGAGGAGTGCATTACGTGGGCGAGCCTGCGTGCACTATACCAAGCACACTTGGTGGAGCTGACAGGACTCCTTTTCCGTGGGGCGCCTGATGCAGTCACACACTCTTGCCCTGCTGTTTTTATTGGCTCCCCTGGCCATTTCCCACGCAAGCATCATTCCCCAAAGCCCTGGAGAATGCGGAGGAAAGGGCTGCTTGCCTCCTGGGTCCCTTGGGACCTGGGAAACTAGGAAAGCTACACAGGCAGGAAGGCCAAACAGGCTCAGAGCAGTTGTGCAGAACCCCACCAGCCGGGATTTTCGGGTATACTAACGTGCAGAATATGCAAAACAGTGAGGCCCAAGCTGGTGTGACACCCACAGAGTGCGTGAGGAGGAAGGAGAGGGGTGTACGGTGCAGTGGGGATCCCACCACACACACACACACACACACACACACACACACACACACAGGACCTGTCCTAGCCCACTGGGGCGGCACGGCAACGCAAAGTAGGTGGTCGCAAACCACACTAAAGCTGACAGCCCTCAGTCCCAAGGCTGGAGTCCTGGGTCCAGGCACACCCGGGGTCTGAGAGGGCCTCCGGATGCATAGGCACCTTCCTGTGTGCCCTCGAGGGTGGTAGGCTCAGGAATCTCCCTGGGGCCTCCTTAGAAGAACACTAATTCTGTTCACAGGGGTCCCCCACCCTTGTGCTTGTCACCACCCGAAGGCCTCACCGCCTATGCCACTGTGTCGGGGGCAGAATTCGATTTCAGTGCATTCATTTGCAGGGACACAGACCCTCAGACAACGACTCAGCAGCAGCAGCTGCCACCGTCACCAAGCATAACAACCTCCCACCAGAGCCTGTCCCTCCCGCTCACAGGCTCCCGCACCTCACCGCAGCCCCGAATACAGACCAAGGACCCCAGCCAGTGCAGCTCATAAACAGCTGCCTCCACCCTCTGCACACTTTCTGAGCAGGTTCAAAGAAGCGGAGCCATACGCCTTTGCCCTGTGCCGCACGTTTGCTCTTCTCTGTCTGGAACCTGAAATGATCCTGTCTCAATGACCCCTCTGTTTCGCTAAGAGTTTATTACTTATCCTTTCCAGTAACACATTTTTTTGTAAAGATTAATTGTAATGATCTTTACAATAAATCACCTGCAAAGATTAACTGGTTGTAATGATCTTTAACCTTGGTCTGGTTTCCATTTTTAAAAAGCTAACTGATTTCATTTACTTAGAAGTGAGCAAAGAGCTGGGTGTGGTGGCATGTACCTGTGATCCCAGCACTTGGGAGGCTGAGGCAGGAGGATTGCTGCAAGTTCAAGGACAGCTTGAGCTAAGTAGTGAGTTCAAGGCCAGCCTGCATTACATAGTAAGACCTTGTCTCAAAAAACCAAAGGAAAAAAAGATAAGGAAGAAAGCCAATTGGCTGAGATAAGTAACACAAACTATTTTAGAAAGTACATCAGAAGTATAAAGAAACAGACAGAGGAGAGACATGCTCCCAGCATGTGGACTTACTTCCGGACCCACAATCACCATGTAAACGTTGGGCTCTTCTTGGTGCCATTCTTGGGAAGAAAAAAGGAAAAAATAGACTTTAAAGTGGTTTAAAGTCACACCTGGGAACACTATTCAGTTTAATAGAAATTATTCCATAATAGAAATTATTTCACAGCACATCGCTTTCATAATATTGCCTGACTTAAACTACATTTACTTAGAATTCATATGCTTAACATTTTAAGTTTTAGTTAAGGTTTGTTTCCTATAGGGCTACACATTACCCAGATGTCTAATGTTGGATATGTAGGTCTGTTGGGGCTTATATCTAGATGTCCCCCAAAGCCTTGGGTGCTCATAGTGGGGTTTCTGGGAGATGATGAGGTAATGGGCGCATGATATTCATCACTGGATGAGTGCACTGATGAGTTTACAGCTGACCGTGATGTTGGGAGGTAGATCCTGGTGGCAGGAGGTGGGTCACTGGGGGCGTGGCCTGGAAGGTCTATGTCCCTCCTCCTCCCTTGATCCCTGGCTGCTTCCTGCCTGCCCTGCCATGGACTGTTTCTCCTCTCCCAGTGCCGTCTGCCATGCTGCCCTGCCGTGGAGCCACCTGAAACCTCTAAACACTGTGAGCTAAAATAAGCCTCTCCTCCTTAGAACTCAAGGTACAGGGTACTGTGTGTCAGAGATGAGAAAGTAACAAAGACAAGGACTAACATTCAGCACAACCCAGGACACACTGAAGAAGAAACTGGAACCGACATAGCCAGGGCATTGTACAAAGGGCCTGTGTAGGATAGTTAGGGTAAAATGCTTTATTTTTCTTTCTTTCCTCTCTCCTATGTATCTTTTTCAAATTTTTTTTTTTTTTTTGGTTTTGGTTTTTCTCCGGTACCGGGAACCAAACTCACAACCTTGCACTTGCCAGGCAGGTGCTCATGCCACTGAGCTATATCCCCAGCCCCAGTCATGTAATTATTTCCAATGTTTCTGGTTTCCTCAGAATCGGTGGACATAGGAAAGCAAAAAAACTGGACAGAAATTCCTACACAGACCTACTGACCCCTCCGGGTATCTTCCTCATTGTTTTCAAAGCTGCAATCTCAAAACACTTCTGCCTATATGCAAACAAGAAAGACCTCAAAGTCCCAAGGTGTGCGTGCAGCACTCCGACACTCCATGCCCAGGTACGATTCTGAACCCACCTGAAAATGCGTCCAGCAGGTACACAGGGTCCTTCACGCGCCGGAGCCCACACACAAGGAGGAACACGTGCAGGTTCTCAGTGCTCTGGTGGATCTCTGCAACACAGGGCGAGCACCCATCAGCAGGGAGACGCTCCCTGCTGGGTCCCTACTCACAGCATCCCCGTCCCCTGTCCTGATCTTGAGCCTCACTTTCTTGCTGTGAGCAGTACTTCTTGGCCATGGAGCTTCACCTCTGCGGCTGCGGGGAAAGACAGCTGGGCTGAGGACATGCTTCCACCCAATTCCAGGTGGGAAGAATATTTCCTGGGTGAAACTAGAAGCTAGGTGTGGTGGTACAAACCTGTGATACCAGCAACAGGAAGGCTGAGGCAGGGGCACTGCAAACTCAAGGCCAGCTTGGGAAACAACTTGGTAAAACCCCGCATCAAAATAAAATAAATTAAGAAGGGCTGGGAATGTAGCTCAGTGTGGAGCTCCTGCCTGTCCCGTGCAGAGCCCTGGGTTTGATCCCTGCACAAAAAGAAAAAGGCAAAATGGCTTATGTACTAATGTACACCTGAGTTCCTCCACGCACAGCCAAGTCCACGCAGCTCAGGAAAGCGTGTCCACAGCTACAGGCAGCACACACAGGCGTAAGACCAGCACACTGTACGCCTCACATCACACCATACGCCTCACATCACACTGTACGCCTCACATACGTACAATTTCGATTTCTCCGTTATATCTCAACAAAACCAGGAATTTTTTTTAAAAAATAAGAGTATGTTTATATATTTAAAAGAAAACAGAAAAGGCTTAGGTTTGCCAGTGGAAATCTGTGACTTGAGACTGGCTGTGGACACCCGGGCTGAGGCGCTCTCTGTCCCACCCCTGCCCCTGGGCTGGCTGCACAGGTTGAAACCTCTGCTGGCCCAGGGGAAGTGGCCTTGTGTAACTCCACCCTTCCCTGGAGGCCTTGTGGCATCCCGTCACCTGCAGTCTTGTCCCCACGGGGGCGCTGTAACAGGCCCTAGCCACCTCCGGGGAAGGAGACTTTATGAGGACCCTGCCTGGCGAGGCCTCAGATCTGTGGGGACACCATGCAGGACCTGCCAGGCCTCAGCCACCTGCAAATGTCACTGAGCTCGAAAGACGCGGGCAGAGCAAACAGGAACCATTCAGCCAAGCTGCAAAGCCAAAACAGTGTCCACCACAAAATCCTGAGACGCCACGGGGCTGCTTAAGCCCACACACCGCGGGGCGCACGGCTCACCAGGGACTGCCTTCAAGAGCAACGATCATCTGCCCACAGGCGCTGCGCTAAAACTTCAGCACTTGCAGCCGTATGGCTGGCAGAAGACCACCCAGTCAAGGCTCTGCGCACGGGCATCAGCTACTACTCAGGGCGGATGATTTCCTTTCTCTGTGCTCTTCTAAGTCTGGAACAGGAATATCCTCAGTCTGACGGTGATGAGGCATACTGCCACTCGGTCAGCAGTCACCAAAGCTCTAAGGCTACACGATCAGCAGTGGCAAAAACACTACCGGACAAGAGAGGATGGAGATCTCTCTCTCTCTCTCTCTCTCTCTCTCTCTCTCTCTCTCTCAGCAAAGCCTCAGAAATTATCCCGAGGGCCGGGCTGTGGTCAGTGGTGAGCTTCTGCCTAGCACACTGGAGGCCGTGGGTTCCAACCCCAGTGCAGCAAAAGTGAAAGTACTCAAAATCATCCGCGAACTGTAGCAATTACAGACCCAGGCATGTGAGGGTCGCTTTTGCATCTACTTCTCCAAAACCCTGAAGCCAACTTCAGAACCCAGGCCTGAGCGAGCACCAGTGTGAGCCAAGGCCTGAGCTGGGAGCTACGTGCAGACCGCAAGCGTGGGTCTGAGAGCTCGAGCACAGGCTCTGGCGTCCGAGGTCAGGCACCGGCCAGCCTGACAGATGCAAGCGCTGAAGAAGCCTGTAGAGGAGTAGGTCAGGCACGAGGGCACCAGAGCTCAGCAGTTCCCGGCAGGGGCCGCGGTGAGCGCTGGGACTCGGTGGCAGTGTGACGGGACGGAGGAGATCACAGCACACGCACAGGGTGGCTGTGTCCAGCAAGGGGCTCTCGCCCAGTATGTGCACGGGGTCTCAGGCAGCGTCAAAAACAAATGCATTTGCAACGTCGCTTACTAGTTATGAAGAAAATACGATACCTGCGCGTGGAGAAACCAGGCAGACGTCACCTTACCAGGGGGGAGGACCTCAACCCAGCACATGTGTGCACACACAACAGCCTCAGAAAGCGAGCGGGCACCCGGGGCACAGGGCGCTGTGTGCTCAGACGTGGCCGCCAGGAGGGCCTTCTCTGACTTGTAGCGAGACAGCAGGAGGAGGCAGAAGAACGGCACACATGATCTAAGAGCGGGCCAGGGGAGGGTCTGCACCACCGAGCTGGGGAGAGAGGCTTTAAATAAAAACACGAAACAGCCCACGGCGCTGGCACCCAGGGAGGGCAGGCAGGGACCGCTGTGCGCAGCCACTGTGAGGCCTGGTAGAACGACTGCCTTGGGCCGGGCGTGGTGGCGCACGCCTCTGATCTCAGCATTCGGGAGGCTGTGACAGGAAGATCGATGCAAATTCGAGGCCTTAAAGTGTTACGTGGTGAGTTCAAGGCCAGCCTGAACGAGAGAGTGAGACCCTGTCTCCAGAAAATAAAAAATAAATAAATAACAACAACAAAAGGACCGGAGCTCCTGCAGTCGCTTCATGGCACACAGGCTACAGAGATGCCTCGTGTTCATGCACACCGGAATGTCAGCTGCTCAGGGGCAGCTTTCCCTGGTCAGCAGAGGCCAGGAACACGCGGCCTGGCCCTGCGCTGCCCAAGGTCCCGTGGAGAGGCACCAGGAAGGGGGTGGTGCACAGGCGTAGCAGATGTGCACCACGTGTCCACTACGACTTGTGCAAGGTCGCGTGCACGTGCGTCACACACACACCCAGCCGGTGCACAGTTTTGCAAAGTACTTTAGCCCGACTTCGTACGAGGCCGTCTGTTTTCAACTCTATTTCATTTCAATTTCTTAAAGTGCTCGGCCCTGGCTGCCTAAATTGATTTGGGAGCTCCTGCCCCAGGCGGGCCCGGAGGGAGGGGATGGGAGTTAATCCTGCAGTCCTCGCCTCCTCTGAGAGCCTTCCTGGCTTGGAGCTGAAACGTAATAGGGAATTTAGGAGACTGAATTAGAGGATGACAGGAGGAAGGACTCAGGGGTCCCGTGCTAGGATTTTTAAAAACAAAACGCAGTGGTGACATTTGGATCTGGCTGGCTTGCGGGTCCTTCCTGCACACAGAAGAGCCGTTTCCCCAGAAATAAAGGTAACGGTTGAAACATGTGCCCTGCCAGGCAAGTGCTGCAGCCCCTCACACTGACATACCCACCCTGGTGACCCGCGGGCCAAGCTCCGCGGGCCAAGCTCCCGGGCCCTCAGGGGCGCTGGGCAGAGGCCTGTTCATTCCTGCTGGGCCCACCGGGGTCCGGAGGAGGGGCAGGTGCCTCCCTGATGTGCCAGTGAATTTCACTTCCTGTCCTAAGGTAGAACTCGCGTCAGTCGTCTATGCTACCCCGTGACATCCAGTGAGGCCTGAGTCAAGGTCTGCGGCTGTCACTTCGGAGGGCACACGTGTAGGTGTCTTTCCCACGGCACCGCTTCCTGCTCGGTGATATTTTTAATCTTCACAACACAAACGTGTCATGGGCATGGTCTGACACCACATCGGCAACGGCAAGCTAAACACACTGCCAGGGCCCAAGGTGACTCATCTGGTGCCAGGAACAGAATCCCTGGCATCACTTCCTGTCCTGGCTCCCTTCCGGCGGCTCCTGCTCCACGCTGCACAGGTACGACCGGCAGAAAAGGCTCCGGGAGCTTCTGCAGCACGCATCAACCTAACCGAACGTCAGCTGGGAAATATGACTCTGCGGCTCTGCAAGAACAAAGCTCAGTGCTGGAGGAGCGTTTGCCTAGCGAGCACAAGGCCCTAGGTGCGATTCCCAGCACCACTAAGAGATTAAAGACAAGAAAGAAGAGATCCAGTGACATTAATTTCCCACAGGAAAAACAAGTGGGTCTTTGCCAGGAACAGCGTGAAGAAAAAGACCACAGTACAGTGTGAGTCAGGCATACGGAGTTTCCGCAGAGACAAGAAACGGAGAGACAGAGAGACAGAAAATCAGAGACAGAGACAGAGAGACACAGAGAGACACAGAGAGACAGAGACAGAAAACAAAGAGACACAGAGAGAGATTGAATAAATAAGCAACAGAGAAATAAAATAAAATGGAGAAAAAGCAGGCGGGAATGGCTCAGTCAAATTTAAGCTTCCCCTTGTGGTAGTTTTGGAGGTGGGAGGTCCACAAAGAATCGTGACGTTGTATGTCAGTCACTGGCCTTAGAAGAAAAACCGTGGAACCCTGAATCCTAACAACACTTCAGATGCACCTGGAAATTCACAGAAAGCCTTGATGCCCAGGTGACTAATCTGATGCTGACAGACGACCCTTCTACTCAGAAGCACTGTCACAAACGTCACGTGACGGACTGCAGGACGGCCACCGACTGCATGTGGCCCACACAGTTCTCCGTTCACTCCAAAGTGGGTCTTGCTAGTGTGGCACTGCCCTCGTGTTTTACAGTAAGGAGATGGGGTTCGTCAGCTTGGACGTTGAGCATGGCTGAAGACCTGCAGCCTCGGAGAGAAGGGCACGTCGGGAGTGGACGTAGGAGGCTTGAGAGGCAGAGCACAAACTCCTTTGTCAGTAACGGCCCCCACGGGCGCAGACGGAGTACTAAGCGAGCCCCCACCCGCTCCCCAACGTCCAGGTGAGTGGTTCCTAAGGATTCTGAGGGTGCTGGTGACCGACAGTCCCTATGCGGTTCCCTGTCTCTTCTGAGGTCACTGTCTGGAGCTCAATGTGGAGGTGACAGATGGCAGCAATGGAGACTGTGGTAATGGGGAGACGGTGGGGCACAAGGTCCCTCCCCAGAGGCTGAGGCAGGACAAAGACGGGTGATCGCCCGAATGAGAGCGGACGCCCGATCGCAAAACCAGAGACACAGATGAACCTCACCTCTGCCCCGCTATTACCCCGCCAATGGTCCACCGGCCGGATCAGGTCCCCGGCTCTGAGCACTTGCACGGCTCGCACAGAGCGAGGGAGCGCTGTCGCGGGGTCATTAAACCGGCTGTTCCGCGAATTGCTCCACAGCAAGGCCAACCCTCAGCCCCGGTGCCGCGGAAGCTGACGACGGATCGCCCCTCTCTCGGGAAGCATGAATCCCAGCTGCACGCACCCACACCCCGTGATGTATTGGAGATGAAATCACCTCACGGCAGGCAATTTAGCGTGGGCCGCTGGTTCCGAAGGCCAGCACCCGCTTTCCGACATGACGAAGCAGTCGGGCCTCACGGGTCCTCTGTAATGCTGAGAACGGCCATGCTACGGAGCCAGGATTGATGAGCTCGCTGCGGAAATGATTTCCAGCCACACACCTGGGGGTTTTTCTCTCAAGGAGACTAACAGTGATGTGTGGGAGGTAGAAGGGCTTTACTGGCATCTTTAGGCCTCTGCTCTCCCCTCCTGCTGGCTGAGGGCAGGGCGCGACTGTGGACTCTCAGCCTCTTCTGAGAAGTTCAGAGCAGAGCCCGCGGCTGCAGCAGCCGCGCCCACCGAGCCTGCAGGGGCTCCTCCGAGCAGAGCTCCGGTGGGGAACACCCACTGTGGGCTCCTCCATGGACAACCAAGCGTCCTGGATTTGGGACACCGGGCGGTAGAATTGCGGGTGGGTAACACAGCTACGCCGATTTCACAGCACACGAGGGAGCGCTGCAGTGGGTATGACTCAGCCCTGCCATGTAGGGAAGGAGCCCTCCCCGCACCTGGGGCCGACTGCGTATCGATGCCACCTTCCCAGGGACAACCCCGCGGGATGTGTGAGGGCCTGGCGAGGTGCAGAGTCTAACACAGAGGCCCCACTGCTGGGAATTCCTCCTGGGGATGCAACGGGGCAAATGGATGAAGACCAGATCCTCGTACTCTCGTCGGCATGTGGGGAAGCACCCTTAAAAAATCTAACGTCCAAAAAGGGGCAGCTCCGGCTAGCTTACAGTGTTCGAAATAATGACATAAAGGAAATTAAAGCCACGACGCAACTAGAATAAGTAAATGTGCAGGACTGGGAGATGCGACAGCAACATGCAACAACCTTCTTTATGTCCTCGCAACAATTTGGAAATGAAAAAAGATGTGAAAGTCTGTAACTATATCACACATAACACTTAAAAGTCATTTTCAGTGGTGCGCCTTGAGAAGTAAGTCAGACGCACAAGCTTAACCATCACCGTTTCTCTTATGTGAGAAACCCAAACCACAAACAATTTAAAAAGCAAAGAAGAAGATGGATAAAAGGAAACACAGGCAGATCTCTCCCAAGGGGGCACTGGACGGAGGGACGGAGGGGGCGGGGATGAAAGAGGGATGGGGCTGCGCTGTGAGCGTGCGCCAACCCCGCGCAGGGAACGTCGATGTGTACTGCACACGTGGACCAGTGAGGACATTTTAAAAAGAATGAAAGATTTGTATAAGGATTATGAAGGTAAATGAATAAGACTTAAATAAACAGATACATTTTGTGTGCAGATTTTAAGACATTATGGTTAAGATATCAGTTCTCCCTAAACGGATCTATAAATTCAATGAAATAGGATTTTATACTAATTGACAGGATGCTTGTGAAATTTACATGAACATGTAAAAAAACTCTATATTACCTAATATGATTTTGTTTTGTTTTGGTTTGGGTACTGGGAATAGAACTCAGGACCTTGCACTTGCCAGGCAGGTGCTTTTGCCGCTGAGCTATATCCCCTACCTAATATAATTTTAAAACAAAGCCGGAAGTGGTGGCACATGCCTGTAATCCTAGCACTCGGGAAGCTGAGGCATGAGGATCCAAGTTCTAGCCCAGTCTGGATAACGTAGCCATTTAGCAATAAAAAACAGAAACAGGGCTGTTGGTACAACTCAGTGTGAAGGCCCCAGGTGCAGTACCCAGGACCAAAAAAAGAAGAAAAAAAATGTAAAAAAAGGTAAAAGACCTTGAAAACTGTTTGGCTGGGATTTGGGTGTTTGTTTGTACGAGGCGCTGAGGATAGAACCCTGAGCATCACGCAGGAGCTCTGTCACCGAGCCACACCTCCAGCCAGCCCCTCTTGTGCTAAATTTTTATATTTCTATCCAATAATCACACTATCCAATGTATAGGGCCTCATCAGAGACATAACAACACATGTACATGCACCAAAATCCTTACATGAGAATGCTTAGCGCTAAAACTATGAACAGCCCGGGTCCACCTGTAGGGGAGCAGATACACAACCTGTGGTGTACCTGCACAGTGGAATACTATACTGCAATAACAAAGGAAACCACAGATGTTCACAAGAAGGTGGAGAAATCCCAAACATTGCGCTGAGCTGAGAAAGTCAGCTATAAACCAGCACTGGCTGTGGGGTCTCCCTGCAGCGAGGGTCAGCAGCAGGTGCGGCCCAGCTGGACGACAGAAACCCCAGGGGGAACTGAGCCTGGGAAGGGCATGAGCCGTGGAGCTGCCCCCTGGAGAGGGCCCCACTCACCTGGAGGACACGGCCAGAAGCTGGGCTGACTCTACCCCTGAGGCCCCGCACTCCCCTCTTGGGCACTTTCCTTGGCAAAGTCAAAAAGCCAACTCTGCTCTTGCAGACACAATGAATAACAAGGCAGGTCAGGGCAGTCAGGAACACTTCTTTTTGTCTTTTAAAAATCTTGTATATGAGGGGGCTGGGGATTTAGCTCGGCGGCACAGCGCCTGCCTGGCAAGCGCAAGGTCATGAGTTCGATTCCCGGTACCGGAAGAAACACAAAACAAACAAAAAAATAAAAATCTTGTGTATGAGAAGATCCCACTGAACGTGAGCAGCCTTTCCCTTTCGGTGCTGAGACTTCAGTAACTTAACCTTACTTCTCTCTCTGACTTCTCTTGTTTCCCTGGAGTCATCTGTCTGTTTTATTTTTGGTATGGGAGGGTTGAATGCAGGGTGCTCAACACTGAGCTACACCCTCAGCCCTTTTGAGACAGGGTCTCACTAAGTTACCCAGGCTGGCCTTGAACTTGTGATCCTCCTGCCTCAGCCTCCTGAATAGCTGGGATCGTAAGCGTTCACCACTGTGCCTGGCCTTCCTGTGTAATTAACAGTAAAATACAGTGAATGTTTGAGGCTTTCATCTGATACAGAGCAAATGTGACACGGAGTGACGTTCGCAGTGCTGAGGACAGCGTCAGGAAGGCCGAGGCCCCAGGCTGCCTGCCCTGCCGTCCTCAGGAGCGGGCTGCCCCCAGGCTGCGGAGGGCAGAGGGGCTCTCCGCTCTCCCGGCCTGGCCTTGCGCTATTCTTGCTCATGACGTCACTTCCTGCTGCCCTGCGCCCCCGCACACTTCACGGCCTCACTTCCCGCTGCCCCGTCTCGTTCACGGCATCCCTTTCTGCCCCTGGCCCCGGACCAGTGGATTTCCCAGGACCCTGAGCAGGCAGGCCCTGGGCCGCCTCACCTGCACGCTCTAGGAAGCTGTTCCAGTCGAAGGCGGCATTTGGCGTTGTTGCAATTCCTGGTCAAAGGAAAGAGAAAAAGGGTCACTCCGCGGAGCTGCTGGAGTCCGGCCGTTATGGCGGCTGAAGTTCTAGTGCTCAGCGCTCACGGGGTCCCTGCTCCCCCAGCCTGGGGCTGTAAAGTGAGCCCAGACCCCACACGAGCATCGGCCCCTTCCGACCCCCCCAGGACTGGGCCACACTCCTTGGGGCCACACAGACTCGTTCCTTCAAAAGGTACTTTGTTTTTCTTTTGAGACAGAGTCTTGCTTTGTAGCCCAGGCTGGCCTCAAATGCACAGAAATCATCCTGCCTCGGCCTCCCAAGTGCTCAGGTTACAGGTATGTGCCACCACTGGCGGCTAAAAAGGCACTTTTAAGGAGGTTTCTAAAACATTCACAACTGAACTCTCACGGCCCCAGCCTCCAGTGGATTTGTTTGTTAAGGTTTACATTTTTCTTTGAAAATGAACATTTTAAAACCTAGACAATTCACATGCAATGTTCAACAAACTACCCTGAGAAGTCTTGAGGTTCAGTCATCTAACCCCCCGGGAAGCAGCTTGTAACCAGCACCTACCCTGAATGGTGCAAAGGATAGCCGCCCACGGACAGCGGCAAGGGATACTAGAAAGCTTGACATAACCCTAGCACTCGGGAAGGTTGAGGCAGGAGGCTGAGGCAGGAGGATCATCTTGAGTTTAAGGCCAGACTGAGCTCCATAGTGAGTTCAAGGCCAGCCTGAACTACATAGCCAGACTCTGTCTCAAAAAAACAAAAACAAAAAAACTCCCAATGTCATTTTCATCTCCTGATTTCACTTTGCCCTGTCCCAATTCATGATGTTTTACAATACTAACCATGGGGCTCCTTTATTTAAAAATTAAGTTAAAACTGAATTAAATAAAATGTTTAAATTAAATTTAAATTTGTTCAAGAGAATCAGAATCCGTTAACACCATCACATCTTACATAAGACTAAAAATATGACTTGTGGTCAGGTGTGAGGGCAAACCCTCGTAATCCCAGCACTAAGGAGGCTGAGGCAGGAGGGCTGCTGTGAGTTCGAGGGCAGCCTGGGCTACAAAGTGAGCTCAAGGCCAGCCTGAACTGCACAGTGAGACCCTGTCTCAAAAAGACAAAAAAAAATATATATGACTTGTGAGGTACGACAAGGGGGGTGAAGGCCAACCTTTCAGAGCTTTCAGTGCTACAAACAGCTGCCCCTGCACTGGGTGTCTTGACGGATCGGTAGCAATTTGTAAAATAACTCTTCAGGAAAACACAAAAACAAACAAAAAGACCACAATGGCTCAAATGAACCGGTTGTGAAAGAGGCATAACAATTAAACTGGCTAAAAAACGCTATGGATGATGTCAGATGAAGGCTGGAAGCTTGGGTGATATCGAACGACCCCTTACGCAGGAGTGCCGGTCGGGGGGCACAGACAGCGGCTGTTGGCAAACTGCATCCCTGGCAGGCTGCTCCTCCGCCCGCCCGGCTCACACCGCACCGGCTCCAGCCCTGGCTGCTAATGCCCACTCCGAGCTGTAGGGCAGGGGGCTGCCGCGGGGGCTGCAGCTCAGCCAGTCTCCCCTGGAGGCCCGGAGGCTGCCATGCGGCACCGACCCGGAGACGCTGTGCTCTAGCTAGCCCCCAGTCCTGACAGGGATTTTTCCTTTGGGGCAGTCTTGCTAATTGGCCCAGGCAGGACTTGAACTCACAACCCCCTGCCTCAGCCTTCCTCCTGTTGGAATGCCAAACACTTTGTCTTGCTTTGTTTAAACACACCACAGCTGGAGTGTAACACTTCTATGGGGAAAAGGGTCCTGGGTCTGCATTTTAATTATTCTTCTGCAATTTCTCCTCTTCATCTTTCACTCCAGATTTAGAAACTGCACCTACTGTTCTTATTATTTTAAGTAAATCTCAAAATCGTCTGTCATCCATAAAGATTCCGATATGTGTTTTTAAAGGGTGCATCCTTCTAAAACATAACACATATGTATATCTGTAAGATATACAAAAATTCTTACCTTGACTCTGCACATAGATCTTGCCCTTAGCGTGCGGCTTTTTAAAGGAGAGAAAAAAAACGTAAATGTGATAGTTTGTCTTATGCTTTTTAGAACTCAAATAACTAAAACAATTAAAAATCCGGTCAGAAAGCAACTCTGATAATCCCCACCCCGCCGCGGCCGCTCATTAGTCTGTAGGGTGCAGCGAGTCTGCTCTTAAGGGGTTTTGCCAAGAGCACAGCTCTGCGCGGGGCAAAGCCGAGGGCCAGGCGCCCGAGTCAGCCAGGAGCAGGGTCCCGCGCTGCGGTTACTCAGTTAGTGCAGCGGCTGCTGGCTCAGCGGGGAGGAAAAGCGCCCCCCACCCAAGACAAAAGGTGCAGGGAGACCGGGACGAGGCAGGAGAAGAAAAAGAGGAGGAGGAAGGCGAGAAAAGGAGGGGAGGGAAGCCAAAACCCAGCCCAAGGGCGCAGCTCCCTGCCCTTGGGACGGGGGCTGACCTCAGGGAGGGGCCCAGGGGCAGCTGCTGGCCTCCTGGGAAGCCACACACACAAATACTAGAGGGAAGCCAGGAGCGCTGGCGCACACCTGTGATCCCTGCACTGGGGAGGCCGAGGCAGGAGGGTCGCTGTAGATCAAGGCCAGCCTGGGCTACATAGCAAGACTCTGTCTCAAGAAAACAGAACAAAAAGCTACTGGAGAGAAAAGCAGCATTTCCCCAGCTCACTGTGAAATGTGACAGAAATCTTTTCAAACTCAGACTTAGACACAAAGGTAGGAGCAGGAGGAGGGTGAGTCAGCTGCTGTAAAATGACAGGAAGGATCTGTAGATGCCAAAGGCTGTGTCCCTTTTGTCCTTGCGTGTGTGTGTGTGTGTGTGTTCTGAGATTGGGTCTTGCTATGTAGCCCAGGCTGACCTCAACCTCAGGGTGGTTCTCCTGCCTCAGCCTCCTGAGTGCTGGTATTACAGGTAGGCGCTACCACCCCCGGTGACTGGGTCTCTTAAATGACAAAAAAATACAGTCATTTCTGTGAAAATGGCCAAAATGAGAATCTTAGCATCCAGTGACCCACATATTCTAGACCAATGCATGAAGGACTAAGTTAGTGAGAGTGGAGGTCACGGAGGTCAGAGCACTGTGGGGTGTCTCTGTGTGTGTGTGTGTGTGACAGAGAGAGAGAGAGAGAGAGAGAGAAGATGTAATTTCCCCTCTTCATCTTTTACCCCGCAGCATGGCCCTGGCACTGTACGCGCCGTGCTGCTTCACCTACTCCGGCCTTACCCCAAGTCAGCCTTACACTCTGGGGAAGAGGCTAAGGGCCAGGCAGCCGCCAAGGGAGGGCCAGGCGGTCCACAGGGGGATGGAGACGGAATGTCCACAGAGAGCGGCTTCCGGGCGGAGGTCGGCACCCTCACATGAGGCTCGGCATGTTTGGGACTGGCCTAGCGCCCCCTCTCCCATCTGATTTTGAACCAGAGGCCTTCAAAAATCCCAGCTGTCCTACTGAATTTCAGACGCCCTGGAACTAGCAAGCCTTAGAAAACAGTTTCAAAAATCCCTTCCCTACTAGTTAATTAAGCTTTAAGGGGAAAAGACAATGGCCAGGGCAACCCATCGGGTCCTCTCTTGTCTCAGGAGCTGTGTCTACTCCCCACTCCTTAGAAAAAAAGGACGAGCAGCGACCACGTGAAATCCGGACCCGAAGGTGGGAGTCCTAACATACTCCAGTTTCTTAACTGCAGTCTCTCCGAGAGCTGGGGAAAACCGCAGGACACAGTGGGGCTTGGAGCACGTCTTCCTCCACTTCCCTCGGAAGCACTGGCTGGGAGAGTCAGGCGGGAGAGTCCGGCAGGAGCGAAAGCTCTGCTACAACACCGCGCCGGTGTGCCAGTGCAGAGGTCAGCGCCCGGGTTCACAGCGCTGGGCTCTGCCGGATTCTCGGTGAATTTGATTGTCGAAGGACAGGCAAGGGTTTACGGTCTTGTCAGTGTTTCCACTAGAAATATGCCTTGCAACTAGAACTTTGCAAACCCGAAATGCTCCTTTCAAGAAATTTCACCCTTCTCCCGACGAGGTATTTAACCAGCAGCCCAACGCCGCAGTGAGAAGGAGTTACCCGCACGTGGAGACTCTGGGTGTACCTGCTGCCCTGTACCCATCTCCGAGTATTACTTCTCTAACACCTACTGAAAACCGGAGAAGATGAGCATCCCCCTGGCACGGACCCTGGAACATACACTTAGGGTATTTTAAGATCTTGTCTGAGCAAGTCAAAAGAGAGTTACAGTCTGAAAGAGATGTAGACCTGAGGGATTTTCAGTCCCCGGGCTAAAAGAAATCCGGCAGAAGCCAAGTGGCTCACTGTATTGACTTTGCAAAACATTTTCCACATCAAAGTGATGCAAAGCCAAATTCATTTTCCTCGCTGGGTCCTCGTGGCTTCCCTCACTCCGACACAAATCAGAGTCCACGTGTGGCATGTGCCTGGACAGATGAGCTCATCACTGCTTCTCATTTTATCACTCAGACGGGGACTTCGTACACACGGGGGCTGGTGGTGAAGACGCGACGCTGGAATTTCTGTGAGAAACTATTACTTAATCCGGCCCGTTATTGGCCTGGGAAGGCAGCATGCTGTCAGGTAGGGACCTAGAAGCAGGGTGCCTTTGTAAGGGGTGCAAATGCCGATCGATATATTTTTCTAATGGAATATTGGACAGAAAGCCCAAAAACTTCGGTTCCCATAACACAGTTAATCTCCTGCAGTGACACCGTCTGCAAACGGAAACCACAACAAATACTGTTTTTATACGATATGCACAACTCAGTGTGGCTCGCAAAAATAATAACTCTTATTCTGAAATGGCAGTACATCTTCTGCTTGTGGCTTTGTTCAAAGTATGCGTAAAAAAACTTCAAAGTGATTGAAAGAAAGCCAGGCCCATCCACAGCCCTGTCACAAGCTGTACCTGCGCCACACACCACACCCAGCGGGCCCTTCTCAGGGGACACAGTGTCTTCCATTTTCTCCCTCCACCCTCTTCCACTAAAAATCTATCACCATGCCTGCAGTCCAAGCACTCGGGAGGCTGAGGCAGGAGGATCGCTGCAAGTTTAAGGCCAGCCTGGGCTACACAGTGAGTTCAGGGCTATCTGGGAGTACAAAGTGAGACCTTGTCTCATAAAACCAAAAACAACACCCACTCCCAAATCTATTACCAAGCAAAGAAAACAAATAAGAAAGCATTTGCTAAGAAGGAGGTGGAAGAGACACAGCCATGCCAGGAACTCCTGCAGCAGAACCACAGAAATATTTTTCCAGGAAAGAAAATTGGGCTGGGATGTAGCTCAGCAGTAGAACACCTGCCTAGCATGAGTGAGGCCCTGGGTTCCATGCTCCGCACTGCAGAAAAGAAGAAACAAAAGGCAGACAGGGTGAGCTGGGATCCCGACCTATCGCACTGGACAGCAGTGGACAGGAGAGGGCAACTAGAATGACCATGACGCGTGCGGGTGAGGCAGGGTGAGGGTGGAGCACTGACCCGGAGCAGAGGGAACGGGCAGGAAGAGCCAGAGAGGATTTGGGGCTTTCAAGCCACTGTGTCTCTGGATGGGTAGGCGCAGAGCCGCTGCTGTGGGGCCGCCGAGCCCCCCAAGTCCCCAGCCTGTGCCAATGAGACTCGGGGCTCAGAGGGGCCCAGGCGTTGGAGCCCAGGTCACAGCAGGCACTCGCCAGACCTTCGCTCACGACATGCTGCTCCAGGAAGATGTCTCGGGGAAGGCTGTCCTAACAGAGGCTGTTAGAACGCTCAGCTTCGACGCGTGGTGGATCCCTGAGGCTGGCGGGACGCACATCAGGTGGGGCGGGGCCCTGGCCGGGTGCTGAAGAAGAAAGCCGCACAGTAGTGTGGGGTCTGCGAGGCTCCGAGATGCTGGGCGCCCTGTGGGGTGGGCGTGTGCCCTGCAGCGGCAGCCGCTGCCCGAAGTTTTCAGAGCTGGATAGAGACACTGGGGGTTGCACAGGCAGAGGGGCGCAGAAAGCTCGGAACATCGCCGCAGGTGCCAGGAATTAGTCGGCCAAGCTGCTCCGGGTTAGGGCGGTGCTGACACCTGGAGATTTCTGGTGCTCACCTGCGGCGCAGCCTCTGTCTGTGGTGGGCACCAAAATCGGCCTCCGTTCTGCATTTAACATCCAAGGGGCAGCAACGGTCTGATCACATGTGCACGCTGCGGGTAAAATCACACCTTGGGCAGCCCGACGCATCTACCTCAAAGAAGGCATCTTCCTTTACAAGGCAAGGTGGATGAATGAGCTCCAGAAGGCAATGACTCTGTTTCTACATTAAAATATAAAAACAGCCGGGAGTGGTGGCGCACGCCTGTAATCCCAGCACTCGGGAGGCTGAGGCAGGAGGATCATTGCAAGTTCAAGGACAGCCTGGGCTACAAAGTGAGCTCAAGTTCAGCCTGAACTGCATAGCGAGACCGTCTCAAAAAAGACAATAAATAAATAAATAAATGAATGAATAAATAAAATAGAAAATCCCTAACAAGGTAACAACACCAGCAAGCTCACGCCACGCTGACCTCAGCCCATTGTGCTGCTGGGTCATTTCGCCTGTGACCTTGCTTTACTGAGTGAAGACTGTTCCGAGGAACATTTACTCGGACTCAGGAGCTTTAAAAAGGGCTCATAGAGACAGGCGTGAATTTAGATGCTGTCCCCCCGAAAAAAAAGAAAAAAATTAGATGCTGTCCCCTTAGAAGACTGGGCCCGGTGTGGTGCACTGACCCTGTAGTCCCAGCACACGGGGAGCTGAAGCAGGAGGACCACCCTGAGTATGAGGCCAGCCTGGGCTACACAAGCGAGTCCAAGGCCAGCCTGCGCTACGGAGTGAGACCCTGCCTCAAACAAAACCAAAAATAGAGAGTCCAAGCTCCGTCTGAGCTACATAGCAAGACCCTGTCTCAAAAGAAACACAATAAAGAACACCTACTAGAAGAGTGTGTGGGCACAAGGGGGCCTGGGGGGAGGGGTGGTCAGCGGGGCGGATTA